CGGGGCTGCCTCATCCATGAGGGCTTCCTCCTTAGCCAGGCAGGACACAGCCCAGCGCCTGGACAGCCCTCTCCACTCGCTGCTCCTTGGAAATTGCCGTGTGTGGGACACAGCAGTGCCCGCCATGCTCTTCCTGAGCCCAGGCACGTCTGCCACACGGAAGCGGGCTTCCACCAGCAGACCTGGGCCCTGCAGGTGCCACACATCAGGGTCAGGACCCGCTCTGGGGGTGGAAGCCCCCGGCTTGCTCTGCTAGACTCAGTGTCTGAACCCGCTTGGCCGCACAGCTGCTGTTGAGCTTGGGACCTGAAAGTGGCTTGGGTGACACCCGAGACGCAGGGAGGCCACCCCTCTCTGGGAGCAGCTCCAGGGAAGAGGCCCTGTTCGACCTGCTCCTGGCTGCACTGTGTCTGACTTGCGCTGCGTCTACTGAGTGAGGAAGCCCAGCCTTAGTCCTCTTTCCCGTGACCTGGGTTAAGGATGTCCACACCGCGGGATGCTAGTGCCTGCCACGCCCAGTGCCCGTCTTTGGACTCCGTGGGGTGGGGAGAAGTTCAGAGTGGGCCCAGGGAAGCATTCCTGGGGTCTGTCCTCGATGCAGCCCGACAGACGGGTGCATGGGACAGGAGAGAGCAGGGAACTCATGCCTGGGGCAAGGTCATTCTGGAGTTAAATCACCCATGCTGCCCAACAGGGACGGTGCTTTATTCATCTTACTGACCAGACGAGGCGGACATAGGCCTGGGACGGTCCATCCAAGGTGTCCTGCACTGTGACCCCTGGCTTCCCACCCTGAGGCCCCAACTTGTCCCGGAGAACATGCAGGGGACCCTGACAGACCCCCCTCCACCCTGGTTGTGCCCCACAACCACCAGTGCACAGAGGCCTCCTCTGGTGAAACAGCTGGCATCAGGGCACAGCCTTGTCACCAAGCACAGGGTGACAATTGCACATTCCTGGCCGTAGGGGAGGGCGGCCTTCCAGATGCTGTCACCTCAGCTGGCTCATGACCCAGTATGCGCTCTGCAGCATGGCTGTGGACCCCACGAGGAGGGGCAGAAGGCACATGCGTGCCTCTGGTCAGCCACTGTCCCCCAGCAGGCAGGAGGCCGCACATCCTCCAGTAGATGTGTCCTTGGCTTTGGGGGCTCCAGGACAGCCCAGAGCAGCTTACCCCAGCTCCTAGCAAGGTCATTCCCTCCACAGACACACCTGTGTCCCCAGACTGGCAGACACCGGACCCCACAGCCCTCACGAGGCTCAGCATGCCCTCCCCACCACTGCAGGGTTCCTTAGAGGACAGAGAAGGAAAAAGTCAGGGGAATCCTGTTCTTCCTGGTGGTGCCATGATGCCAGCTGAAGAGACCTGAGGGCAGCCATCTGTCACTCTGCAGGGCTCCCTGATGGCTAAGGACCAAAATGGCAGAAACTCCTCAGACACTGCAGAGTGGGGCCAACCCCTGAAGAGAATGTCAAGGCTACACCTGCCAAGCTATCTACTTCCAGGTCAGACAGGAAGTGCTTTACGGGGAGGGCAGCAGGCCAAGCCTAGACCCCCGGGGCCTCTGCATTCGAGTCTGGGGATGGTCCTGGTGTGGGTGGGCATCTCCACCAGCCCTCGCACAGGAGCCAGGTCTGCCCGCTGACATCCGACACCTTCCTCCCTTTGTCTGGTGTGCAGACAGGAGCTTTGGAGCGGGCCAGGCCCTGTGGGACAGGCAGGATCCGGCTGTACGGTGCACTGGACTTGTCACTCCATGTCCTCCTGCAGCTCCTGCCTGTGCAGTGCCTGCAGGCGGCTGCCCACAGCTTGCTGCACAGCCTCGAGGCCCTCCGTGTCCAGCTCCCGCAGCAGCAGCAGCACAGCTGTCAGCACATTCTGGGGACAGGAAGGGAAGATCAGAACACGGAGGCACATGCTGCAAACCTAGGAGCACTGCCTCCTCCATCCTGACCTCCCTTCAGGTGCGGAAACGGAGGCACAGAGGTTGAGGGCCCCAACTGCTCAGTGCTGTCCACCCACATGGCTCTGCCTGCGTCCCCGGGAGGGGACCAAGGCTGTCTGTGCTAGGAAGATGAGGGGCCACATGGACAGCTGGGGAAGGACCAGTGGGGCTGCGGCTCACCGGGAGGGACACACTGGGGTGATCGACCAGGGCTGCTCCATTCCCGACCCCTGCAACACTCGGGCAGCGCCTGCTGCGTCTGTGGACTCCACCCTCCCCAAGAGCTGCGAGCGTGCAGGTGGCAGGGAGCCTGCAGGGGGCAGAGCTGCTCCTGCAGGTGTACCATGGTCTGTGGCAAGGTGACCTGTGGTCCCCGTTTCCACTCCCTCTCCATCCAAACTGGCCATGGGCCATGCCACCCCGCTGCCTGTGCAGGCCTGTGTTGGCTGCAGCCATTCACCACCGGAAGGAAGACACCTCCCCCAGGTGACACGGCCCCCCAAACGGGCATGCACCCTGCAAGATGGGGCACAGCCTGTGGCTCCCTGCCCCTTCCCCAGTGCTCACACGCCATGGTCACTGATTGGACAAGGAAGCCCTGGCCCTACCCTTCAACTGGGCCCTGCCCTGGCACCAAGGGACCATGAGCCCACGCGGGCTGAGATCCTCGGGCTGCCAGGAGCTGCCTCCTGCACAGGTTGCTCTGCTTGGGCAGTGCCGTTTGCCACACCGCCTGGAGTCGGCAGGCGAGGTCTGCTCCCCGCTGAGCTCACGCTGCAGAGGACACTCAGGACATCCTTGGGAGTGGGGTGGGGGAAGAAGCTGCAGGACAGCTGGATCCCATGGGCGACAGGCAGAACACGGGGGTGGGGGCCGTGGGAAAGGTGTGGGTCTTGGGCTGTCATGGAGCTGCCCACTCAGCCTGGAGCCCTGGGCTGCTCCCCCAGGCACCCTGGATCTAACTGAGGCAGCAGTCTGTCTGCAAGCGGCAGGCCTCTGCCAACTTTAACCTAGTCATGCAGACTGGCTTATTCCGGGAGCTACGAGCACCGAGCACAGCTTTGGTGGCCCTGAAGCCAGCCCTGTCCCATGCACCTTCCACGGGCTGGCACTCCTAGCAACGGAGAACCTGGGGGCTTGTCTGTGCCAGTTCCCATGGTGTCGCCTGCCCCATGCCCAAGACTGGGCAGAGGGAGCAGTGGCAACCTGGCCATGATGGCCAGGCGGTGTCACTCACCCTGTCCTTGTGGCTGCTCACGGTGTCCCTCTGTGGGAAGGGCAGAAACTGGTCCTCAGCAGGGTTCCGCAGGCTGAGGTGGCCCTGGACACAGCTAGTGAGAAGGATACCGTGCAGGTGTGTGAGGTCTGCGGGCACCAGCCTGGTCCCCAGCAGGACAGAGGAGGCTGAGCCCACCACAGGGACTTCCACGTGGCACCGGGCTCAGGGATGGTAGCACTTCCTCCTGCTTTGTTCCACTGGGGTGACCTCCCTGTGCCCGGGCTCCTGACTGCAACCCCTTCTCCAGGGCCTCAGAGCGGGCACCTAACATAGTAGGGGTCAGTACACTAGTGCCAGCCTGCAGCTGCCACCGCAGGGTCACACCCAATGCCCCCAACGACACGGGGCCTGCAGCCGCTCAGCCTGGGTTGCTCCACAGCCCCCACCCCTTCCCACTGCCATCTCTGCAGCAGCAGATGCTCCGGGCGGTGCCCAGCCACACCCCAACCCTGTGGAGCCACACCTGCTCCTGCACCCCTGGGCCCTCACACCCCCATCTCCAGTCAGCCCTGCAGGGTGGGAAAGGAGGTGGCGGAGCCCGGGGCCTTCCGCCTCTCACTGCCCGCCCGCAGTGCACCCTGGAAGCCCTGCCGGCTGGGGGCCCTGGCACCCACTCCCGCCTCACTCTGCCTCCTCGTCCATGAAGCTCAGTGGGTCCCGGTAGGTCTCAGTGGCGGAGCCGATGGAGCCCAGGGGGTCAGGTGGCTTGCAGTGCCGCTGGCCGTGGCCCGTGCCCTCCCTGTCAGGGGCATCAGTGATCTCGTCCCCCTCCATCAGTGCCCGGGTCAGCTCCTCCTCAGTCACCGCTGGGCAAGGGGGCAGAGGAAGCAAGGGCGTGAGAGGGGCCTCCTTGGATTCGCGTGCGCATTGCGTCCGCCCCACCCTTGAAACCCTGGCCCTGCTGTGGGAGCCAGGCCTGGGACTGCTCAGGAACAGACGTGGGTGTTCTGGGGCCAGGCAGCCTCCATGGGCAGTGAGTGAGCAGCTACGCAGCCCCTGACCCTGACAGGAGGGTGTGTGGGCACTGTACGCGGGTGAGGTGTGGAGCCACCCCACAGCCCCAGGGGCCTGGCCACCAGATGAGTGTCCTCACGCGGTGCCTGTTGGGTGCTCAGAGCACTGCGGGGGCCGCCGCACAGCAGAGGCCGGGCCTGCGGACACCCACCCTGGTTGTCCAGCTTCTGCAGGTGCGGCAGGTTGCGCAGCACCGTCATGCGGTAGAGGTGGGGGCTGGGGCTGCAGCACGGGTTCTCAGCCAGCCACAGCACCCGGAGGTGCGGTAGCTCCTTCAGGTAGAAGAGCTCGTCCAGGCTGCGGATGCGGTTCCTCCTCAGATACAACTCGCTCAGGCGTCGGCAGCGGCTCACGGGCTCCAGGGTAGAGACACTGTTGACACTGTGGAACGGCACTGTTAGCGACTCTCTCGACTCTCTGGGCCCGGCCACTAAGCTGGGTACGGCCTCTACCGCAGCCAAGGGCCCATGGCCACCTGCCCGCTCCTCAGATGTAGGCCAAAGTCAGATGCAGCGGGTCAAGGTCAGAGACAACCCCAGCTGGAGCAAGCCCCTTAACCTGAGGCGCAGCAGCTCCTGCTGCCTCACACTGCATTGACACCAGGAGGTGGACGCTTCATCCTCTTTCACAGGAGGCAGTGGCTGGAACTCCCAGCAAAACATACAGAAGACCTGAGTGCTAAATTTCCAAAGCCCCACACCAGGAAGAAGCAAAGGACGAGGGCTTCATTCCATTCCGTGGGTGCATGAGCAACCCCGAAAAGAAAAACACACGGTGTCCCCCCACCCTACGATGGACAGATAGGCCTAGACACCCAGGCACTCAGCTCAAGGTGGCCAGCAACCCCTGCGTCCCCACCAGGGACCCCATGCACCAGCCCCCCAAAGCGCTCCCTCCTACAGGGCCACCCCAGGGTGGGGCATGTGCTGGAAGGGACACCAGTGCCATGCTGACCCTGGAGAACACATCCCCGCATCTGCCAGGTGGCAGGGACCCTCAACATCAGCCCCCTCCTTGGGTACAGGGTGGGCAGGAGTGTGTTTGGGGAGCTCGTCCCTCAAAATGCTCCCCGACTGCCAACACTGATCAGTGAGAAGTCTGCGATGCAGAGCTCGTGAGCTCCCGGCGTGATGGAACTGGAGCTCCAGGGACAGACGGGGCCAAGCTTATCAGTACAGCCCTAGCCGTGGCTGCAAGGGCACAGGTACAGCTGTGGCTGGTAGGGCAAGCGCCGGGGAGGGAGCTTCCAGTCTGTCTCTGTCACTCAGTCCCAGGGAAGCACTAAGCAGGAGTCAGGTACCTGAGTGTGATCACCTCCAGGCTGGGCATCTCCCGGCATATGGAGATCTAGGGAGGGAAGCACGTGGCTGGCAAACAGTGCAGCACTGATGGCGCCCGGATGCTACGTCTCTCGGGCCAACTGGACTTCAGAGGACAGGGTGTGGCCATGCTCAGAAGGGTCCCACAGGGCATGCAGGGCCCAGGCTCACGCTGGCCTCTGCAGCCCAGACCTTGCCCACACTCCCGGACCCGTTGTGAAGCTCTTATAGATGCTGCCAGCTGCAGGGAGCATCCTCACTGCAGAACCCCCAGGGATGTGAGGTCAGGGACTCAGGGCCTATGTGGGGAAGAGGGCTGCAGAGCCAGGCCAAGGGGAGACAGGACTGAGACTGGGTCTCAGGCCACATCAGCACCCCTGATTCCTCAGAACACCATGGTGCTTGTGTCCTGTGCCAGGCGCTCCTGTGGCTCCGCGTCCCCCATACTCAGCTGGCTATGGCACAGGGTGGGGGAAGGTACGGGGGGCTGACACAGGTGCCGACTAAGAGGAGGCCACACAGAGTGCTGGCCACTGCATCTGCTCAGAGGACAGCTGTCCTGAGACTCCTTCCCAGGGTGCAGCTTGGGGAGGACCTGCAGGCAGCGTGGATGGAAGCAATGGCCAGGGCAGCGGTTCTGGGGCCGAGGAGGAGACAGCTTCCGGGGCACGGCCACGTGGAGATGACGAAGGTAATACTCACGTCCGTGAGACGGCTGCCCCTGAGGAGAGAAACGTCTGTGTTTTGATCTCATTACAGCTGACTAAAAAATATCCCAAGTTCGCTGAACTAATGACGAGTGCTCACAAACCTTAAGAGTCTATGATTTCAATTACACAGTAAAAAAGACAGCTTGCCAGACAACTGGAAAAGGTGTCAAAATTGTTGGGTTGACTTTAAACAAAATTTTATGTGCGGTGCTCCGGGATGCTTTTCAGACTAAGGAAGAGCAGGGGTTGCTCCATTTACAGGACAGGAAAAGATACACTCATTCTTCCGGTGGCTGAACATCAGAAGGTTCATTTCCCTCACCTAAACAAGGGCGTCTTCGTATGGGGCCAAGTTCAAAGGCTGCGCATGTAATGTAGGAAGCCAACTCTGAAGGCCGAAAATGGGGTTGTTGTTTCTCTGGGCACACTGAGCTAAATCCCCGGCGAGAAGGGCTTTTTAATGAACAGGGCTAGGCTCACTCCCTCCAGCGCTGGGGGACGCTTGACAGGGGTCTGTGTCCGCAGGGCCCCTCCACTGCGCGGGTGCAGGGTTCAGAGTCCTCAGAGACACCTGCAGCCCCTGCAGGCCCCAGCTGCAGGCCACCTCCTCTAGCAGCTCGGTCCTCTTGGCCCCACAAGACCAGGCCACTGGCTTGTGAGTCTGCATCGATCCCAGAACACCTGTCCCTTGCTGTCACCCCAAGCTGGGCCACCTGGGCACAGCCCTCCAAGGTGCTCGAAGGTCTCAGCTCTTTCCTCTAGAAATGGCGATGAGCCCTTTGGACCCCCGTCTACTGGCAGGCCTGACGCCAGACTAGTGGCAACTTCAGATGCCAGACGGTCACAGAGGGGCCAGCGGAAGGCACTTGAAGGCCCGCAGCCGCCAGCGGGTACTTCGAGCTGTGTCAGGCGGGCAGAGGTCCGTGTGAGGACCCCTGGGACCTAGGCTCCTGCGACCCCGCTCACGGGCTGCTGCAGGCCGGCGGCCGGGCTGGGCCCCACTGCTGGCGGGGTGTCGCCGACGCCCCCCCACCCCCACCCCCGGGCAGCACCAGGGGCCCAGGCCTCACCAGCAGTTGAGCTTCCGCACGCTGTGCAGCTCCGAGGCCTTGGCCCGGGACAGGACCATCTTTCGCGTCAGCTTCATGACGGCCGGCGGCGCGCGGACCCCAGGCGGGGCCCTCGTCCCTCAGCCCCGGGGTCCCTAGTCTTGGCCGGTGGTAGCTCCGCGGCGGCGGGTCTCCAGGAGGAGGGGCCTGCGTCGTCAAGGGCGGGCCCCGAGAGCCCATTGGAGGTTTGCCGAGTGGGCAGGATTGCGCGGGCGCAGTGGGGCCGCCTGGGCTTCCGCCGAGAGCGTGTGCCCGCCCCTCCGCCTGGCCCCTCCCCTCGGGCCGCAAGCCGGTGCTGCGCACCCGACGGGAGCCTGTGATGACGCAACTTTCCGACGCGACTCGGCGCTTTCGGCGGGCGTCTCGGCGCGGCGCGGCGCGGCGCGGTCCTGGCCCTGGGCGCCTGCGGGCTTGGCGGCGTTTCCCCTGCCGGCTCTGAGTCACAGCGCCTTGAGCTCCTGAGGTCTGTCCAGGGCCTGCCAGGAGCTCGCGAAGGCCCGGGGACGACCCTGCGGGAATCCGAAATCCGCCTTGGCCCCGGGCGGAAGGGCCGTCGCCAGCTGCGTGGCCCCCCGTTCCCGGGGACGTGGGTGACAGCTCTCCTGGACTGCTGGTCTTTGCGCCCTCCATCCCTCCAGCGCGCCGAGCTGTCGTAGCACGTGTGTCCCGATTCGCAGGCCTCGCTAAACTCAAATAAACCCCTTGGGTTGTTTTGGGGGGGTCCAAATCGTGAATGGATGGCCGGAAGCTGGGGAATGGGGAGGTTGTTGTGCTCAGGTTGATTGTGTGTGTGTGTGTGTGGGGGGGTTGTTGGCTTTCTGTAAAGATTGGGAGGACAGAGCCTCCGAGCAGTCCCGTCCAAGTCTTCCACACCAGGCAGTCCGAGAACGGTCAGGACTAAGAGGCCTGGGCTGAGAGGTGCAGACTCTGAGCTCCGTCCCACCAGCAGTGGCAGGCAGTAGGCCTCCGGCAGCATCGGGCTGCCTGAGCTTGCACAGGGCCCCTGGCCTTCCTGCTTGGGGCTGTGGCAGGGGGACCGGGACCTGAACTGCAGGCCGCGGGTGGCAGCTGCCCCAGGAGCCGAGACATGGCGTGGAAGTACTCACTTCCATTCTGCAGAGGGTGCGCAGCTGCAGGCTTCAGCCAGCTCCCTCTCGTTCTGGTGGGGACCAGGTAGACCTGCGATGTCCCGTGTCATACCCAATGCCAGCTGATGGGAGAGGGTTCTGGAGTTGCCCTGCTCATTCCGGGTTTGACTCAAGCGGCCCCTCCCCCTGCCCTGGGCAGGTGTGGCCAGAGTGAGGAGTGATCCAGGTCGAGGGGCAGTCTTGTCAGGTGGGGCTGTGGGCTGGGCCTCGTCGGTTGCTCCCACAGTCTTGGAAGCACGGCATGAGAGCTGTACTTGGAGATTTCGTGTAGGGAAAGAGGCTGGGGGAAGAGAAGCCTGCTGTGGGGGTGCGGAGCCCCTGAAGGTCAGCCCAGAGCAGCGGGGGACCTCACTCTTCCGGAAGTATGGCTCCCCGCCCCCCCCAGCACTCAGGAATCACGGGAGCCCTGAAATGACCACTGCGCCCTGAGCCCTGGCAGCCCCCAAACTCTGTCCGGAGTCACCTGCTTCCCCGTCAGCTCAGGGCTGGACTGGACCTACAGAGAAGCTGTGTGAGCTTCGGGAGGTGGAGGGGCAGCATCCTCACGAAGCAGAGCCTTTGTGGTTGGAGATCAGAGGGGACACGAGCATGGGGGTTGTCCTCGCACTGCAGCCAGCTCTCCCTCCTCCTGTGCCCCAGCACACTGGCACCCCTCACCGCAGACTCAGCCTGACATCACCTGACCTGTCACCAGTCCCTGCCCTTGCTGGCCCTGCTCTACAGCTAGACCTTCCCAGGGTCTCAGTGCCACCCCCTTCTTCCCCTGACAGGGGGGCTGCCAGGGACTTGCCCAGCATCCTACAGCTTCTCCATTTGGATCTCTACTTCTCTACAGCTATGACTGCATGAAGCCAAATTTGTACAACAAAGGCCTTATTTCAAAATACTCCTAAGAGGTTTGCTTCCCTGAAAGAACTCTGACAGACAGAAAAGCAACCAAAACTGGCTCAAACCAAAAATGAAACATTGGCTCCCACCCCTGAGAGACCCAGAGTGGTGGCTTCAAGCCTGCCCTCCAGGGTCCCCAGGTCACAGTTCTTGGGACCTCTGTCCCCACCCCACCCTCCCACTGCAGAGCATCCTGACTGCCGCAGGTCCAGCTCGGGGCACTATCCCCAGCTCCGGGATGGTCCCATCTGAGTCGCACACCCTGCCCTGAGTGGGCCTAGGTCCCACATTCAGCTCTGGGCTGGGGGTGGAGGAGAGAGCAAACCCCAGTGCTGTCCCCTCCAGAAGGGAGTGGATGCTGCCGTGCTTCGCTTTTGCACAGCACAGACTCCTCCCCATGCTCTTGCTTGTTTTCCTTGTCACAAATTTGTCCTTGTTCCCAACGAGGACCCTCTCTGGCAGTCACTCCCTGGGGCCCACCTCTTTATCCTCCTGGGTGCCTGCAGGTGCGAATGTGCCCCTTCCATGTCCCCTGGCAGGAGAGCTGGTGGGCTCAGGCCAGGGTGCGAGTGTGTGCTGCTTCAGGTGTGTCACCTGGCCACCTGCCCACACCCTCTGCAGCCCAGAGCTGGCCCCTCTGTGAACTCACTGTGCTGCTCAGGGGGCTGCTGGCGCAGGCCACGGCCCCCACCCCCACCGCTGGGCGTTGACAGGAGGGGAGGGCCTCAAGGTGGCCGAGCTGTGGCCTCTGAGCTCCAGGGTACATGGGGGCCCTGGCCACATAGCTGTCACAAATGCTGCCCCTCCGCCCAGCCTGCTCCTCCCTCCTTTACAGTCTGTAACTGTGAGGCCCACTGGACACCCCGGGAGTGTGACAGTGACCTTGCTGCGCCCCACCCTCCTGTGGTTTGAACCTGCTGGGGTGTCTGGCACCCATGGCCCTGGCATCAAGGACCACACTCATGGGTGTGCTGTGGCCGCTCTTGCTCCAGGGTCCCGACAGCGGGGTGCCCCCAGACTGGAGCTCTGTAGGGGAGGTCCCGGGGGGGGGGATACCTGGCAGCACCTGGCTCCTGGAGGCGATCTGGGCTGCCCTAGGCCCCAACTCTGCCTCCTTCTTCCTGGCCCCACCCCCAGGTGACCCATCTGGCCGCACCTCTGCAGGCACCTGTCTGTCGCCTGTGCTGCCTAACAAACTGGCCCAAACCCAGCAGCTCCCAGTAGACGTTTGTTTTCCGCCAGGAACCCCTCACACCCTGCCTGCCGCAGACCAGCTGCAGTCGATGCAGGGTAGGAAGGGGAGAGGTCTCGGGCCGGCGAGTGAGAAAAGAACCGTCGCAAGCAATGTGCAGGCTCCCTCTGAAAAGTCTCAGGGTCTGATTTATTTTTATATCTCTAAGCACTAGCTAGGGAGCATTGGGCGGGACAAGTTTACATTGTAGGTTGCCTTAGCAACATCTAGTGAGGTAAAGGTTATTTTTACTAAACAGTATGTTTCTCTAAGCTGATTCATTTCATCGAACATCATGAATACATTTCTTAAAAATCACAATTGTCCCCTTATTTTCCCATACCTAGGTAGAACAGAAGGTAACTTAATCAAAGTCTCCAGAGGGTAACTTAATTAGAATCTCCATAGCAGCGGGGGTACAAGCAAGATTTAATTAATTAAATGTCAAACTTGTGGTCGCCAGCTGGCCCTTGAGAAACTGCACAACAGTTAATATAGTTTGCTGTTAGCTCTCTACCTCTCTATACCTCTATTCATCTTAACTAACTGTCATTTGGGTTCATAGTCCATGAGCAGGAGATATTTACAGCACTGTGAGAAATAGTGAGTAACTTGTCTCCTTAATGCATTTACCTGTCTTAACGTTCTTTCTATTTCCCATTTTCCACTATTTCTTACATCCAAAGTCTGTCCTTCCAATCTCTTCGTAAGACCCCTTTAGTGAAAAGAATGTCAGCAATGAGAGGGGGAGTCATAGTAGTGGGAAAACAGCGGGGGTTTCAGGAGAGGTTTCTTTAGGAGTGGATGTGGCAATAGAACTAAGAGAAACTGGAATTTGGGACTTGTGAGCCAGATCAGATTTCAATACATCATTGCCAATTTGCCTCATGGACAGTTTGTTGTTAGTCACAAACACAATGACTCCTGTGACCAGAGGAACAATTATAAACATTATGGCAAGAAAAAATAAAACATGAGGGTACGATGTGTTCCACCCTTTCTTTCCCCCAGGTGGAACTTTGTCAAGCAGCAATGGAGGTCGGTTGGGCTTCGCCACCTGCCTACAGCCACGCTCTGCTGTGCTCCAGCTCCGTCTCCGCTGTTCTTCGCAGTGTTCACCACACCGGAAAGGATGCACTTGCTTTGCCCTTGTTACAGGGTGACAGAAGGCCCCACGACAGCTGAGTTCTGTCTCCTCACCTCCTGAGTCCCCAGCCCCTGGAGCACATGCCAGCCTTCAGGAACTGCCTGTGTGCCGACTGCCCATGGAGACCACGAGGGGGCCACGCTGCTGGCCGCTCCCTGCTGGGGCCCGGCGCGGCTTCCCATTGCTCTGAGCCTCGGCTGCCCCACCAGTGGGCAGGGGACAGTTTGTCTGTTTGGGCCACTTTACCAGAGTCCCACGGGTGGGGTCTTAAATGACAGAGATCGAAGCCCACAGTTCTGGTGGCCAGAAGTCCACGGTCCAGGTGCTGGCTGACCTGGTGTCCAGTCCACCTCCTGTCTGCGCCTTCACAGGCAAACAGGCTGCTCCTGCCTCACCTTACCGGGCCACGAGTCCCACGGCACCTCGGCCCCCATGGCCTACTCACTCCGGATGGCTCCACTGCCTAACACCGCCACCCTGGGAATCGAGTCTGCATGGCGCCTGCAGAGGGTGTCCAGCCGGCTCTGGCCTGCACTCTGCTGCCCAATGACCTGGACCCTGTGTTCAAGGACCTGGTCAGAACCCTGTGGCAAATACCATGCCTGCCCTGATGAGAGAGGAGCAGCTTGGATCTGCTGGGCTTTGCTCAGTGTCCCGAGCTCTTTCAGCCCTAGGTCATTCCTAGCTGCCTGGTCACTGTCCCCCCATGGGTGTGCCATCAGTGAGCAGAGTCCAGGGGCTGCCCTAGCTGCTGTCTTTCCATCTTGGGTGGTCCCTCGCCACCACCGCACCTGTACATTTTACCCGCAGCTCCTTTGAAAGCTATTGAAATGCCTTGAAAGCTGTTGACCTGTGGACGCCACAGGTGCCGGAAAACAAGGATGCTCCCATCTGAAGCCCACTGCTGCAGGCCAGGGCTCAGGCATGCAGGCCTCTCTCTGTCCCTCTGCCTTTCCTGGAAAGTGAAGTTAGATGCTGCTCGGCCACACCCTGCATCCCTGCAAGGCCTACAGTGGCCCTCGGCAGAGCGGGCTGTGCAGACAGAGGCCACCCAGCTGCAAAGCCTGTGACCCTTAACCATCTGGGCCCATGCAGGGAGTCGGCTGTGCCGCTCTGTCCTCCCTCCTCTCCTGCCCTGATCTCAGGCCTGCAGCTCCCTTCCCTGCTCCTGTGTGCCACTCGGGTCCTTCACTAGCTGTGCTTTTTCTCTTTGCTGCCAGTGCTATCCAGGGCACAATGCCCGAGCCATGAAGAGCTCCTTGTGCTTCACGGTAATGCTCCATGGAGATCAGTACATGCTGTATTCAAGGTCTGTGGTCAGTGCGCCTTTATTTTCCTGCGAAGAATATTTCATAACTGCCATTGCATCAGCGTCCCAGCGGATGGAATCTGGACCTCTTGTAAAACCTGTGGTTTTTCTGCAGGAGAAAGGAGCCACATGGGGTGGATAAATACAGATTCTTCATGAGATGCTGGGCTTATTAACCCCTCCACCTGGGACCAGTTTTCACAGAGGCCCTGCGGTGTTTGACAACCACATCCTGCCCGTCCATCACATGGCTCTGCAGTTATTAGGGTCTTAGGAAATATTAACCGGCTCGAAGTGTTTTTAGTTAATGAGATGGCTCTCCGGCCAGCAGGCACCCGAGAAAGCAGTGCTGGACAGGGCCAAGCTGACATGGGTGTGTCTCCAGTTCCTGTCCTGTTAGCCAGCACCTAAGGCACCTCTCCAGTGTGTGGCAGGTTGTCCTGTGGGTGCCCGTAGAGCGCTTCCTTGTTGCCAGGCTCTGGGGATGCGGCAGTGGACAAGGGAGAGGTCTGTGTGCCCCAGGCAGCCTGGAGCCCAGCAGGGCAAGGCCACTGTGGTGACAGCCACTCCCAGTGGCCCCTTCCATGGCCCGAGGTGCCAGCTGGCTTGGAAGAGAGGCCCCAGGAGAGTTGCAAAAATCGCAGAGGCCCACCTTTCCCACGGGGCAGATTGAGGGCGTGCCTTAGCTGTGGGCATCTGTACTCCTGCTGGCCTGTGGAGGGTGGGGCGGGGTCCTGTGGACACAGGTGTGGTGGCCAGGGCCTGGATGATGGCCTGGCACGCTCAGGGACAAAAGCAGGGGCGGTGGCTTGAGCAGGTGGTGGCGACCCCCACTCCAGGATGGGAGCCGCAGGGCCGCTTCACTTCCTGGAGACTGCGGCCAGTGGGGCCCGTGAGTGGCACCTGAGGCTGCCTGTGCAGGCAAAGAGGGCAGAGGGACTTTGAGGGGCGACTCAGGGGTGGCTTGGGAAGCCACTGCCATGGGGCTTTTCAGGGGCCAGAACTGAGTTGCTCGGCCCAGAGCCAGGCTCAGGGCCCGCCGAGTCCAGGGTCTGAGGTGGTTTGCTGTCTGGCTTGCTCGGCGCCCTCCGGCCATGGCAGGTGTGCAGAGCGGGCCCTGGGCTGCCCAGCTGGGTCCGCCTCACTCCTGGGAGGGGCCCCTGGCTGTGGGTCACCCTATGTGAGGACGCAGCAGAGGCCTCCAGCTGGAGTCCTGAGGGGGCCACTCACCCAGCCCCGGTCCGCTCGGGATCCCGGCCCTGCCTTACCCCCTCCCCATTTAAACCGAGACCTTTGGCACTGGCTCGGCCTGAGCTCCGGGTCCCAGGGTGCCTGGGAGGCCGGGCTGCAGCGCGCCCGCCCGCTCTCCTCTCCGTGCGAGTGACGCAGAGCGCGCTGCGGGCGGGCGCCGGGTACACACTGCTCGCCGGAGTGCGGGCGGGCCGCGGGCCAGGGCGGCGCTGTAGCCGCGGTGCGGGCGCCGGCCGACCCTCAGCGCAGGTACGCAGGTGTGCGGTGCGCAGGTGTGCGCGGGGAAATGCGGCGCCGGCGGAAAGCGGTTGGGGCCGGGCCTGGTCGGGGGTAGCGCGCGCAGGGCCGGGGCTCGGGTTTGGGGTGCGGCCGGGCTGTGAGTTCCGCTGCAGTGCGCACCTGGGCGCCGGGCGGGCGGCGGCGTGGTCCATGCAGACGCCCTGGGCTCCGCTGCGCTGCTCCGTGCTCCGGCCGGCAGGGACTCGGGATCTTGGGCCCCTGCCCCGGACCCTCCCAGGAGACCACAGGGCGCGCTGTGCCTCCGATTTGTTCACAGCCAGGGCAGGAGGGTGCTGGTGACCGGGCGGAGGCGGAGTTCACAGTGCGGGAAAAGGGAGCCGGGGCTGGCCCAGTCAGCAGGTTTCTATTTCCCAGGGATTCCTTTGGGCTGGAGGGTGGGGATCCCGGGCACACCTGGAAGTACACATCCAGCGTGGAGAGGCTGTGCCCCGACTCGTCTCTGGCCCCCTGTGCCTCCTGATGGGGGTGGTGCCAGCGGGGCCCACACAGGGGAGCTGCTTCCCCGCTAAGGGAGACGAGGGGGGCGGTGCCCCTCCCCACGCATCTGTCCCCCTCCTGGGGTCGCCCCGGTGCCACCGCAGAGCTCACACTGGGAGATGCACCCATGTCGGGCTGCTCCATCTGGTTCCTCTCTGGCAGCAGCTTCGGGTTCCCATCATGGATAGTTGTTCTTTTCTGTTACCGGGGATCGAACTCAGGACTGTGAGCTTAGGAAGGCAGGCGTGGCTCCACTGAGCTAAATCCCCAGCCCCCTGTAGGACTTCTTGCAAGTGCTGTATCCAGGTGAGTGCTGTTGCATGCTGAGTAGGCGTCTGTCCATCCCTTGACCTGCAAGCATGCTCAGCACACACACCTGTGCCAGGCGCTTCTAGAGAATTTTAGCTGTAAACCAGGGTGGCCAGATGCTGTTAGGAGTGCGAGAAGAAAGTGAGCAGCCTCCTGCTTGTGTGTGGAGGAACCCACACAAGGCTGGAGCACTGTCCTTTGTAAGGGCGTCGTGGTCAGCCTTGGGGTTCAAGACCCCCATCCCATCTGTCCCTGCTCACTGGGGCTGTGTGCACCTGGGGTGTGAAAAGCCCCTGCAAGGCCCCAGATGGCAGCCATCTGAAAAGCCCGGAACCGGGTCCCAGCAGCGGGGCAGCCGCACTCCCTCTGCCCGAGGAGCGCACAGGTGGGACGCACAGGCCTGCAGACGTCCAGGCAGAGCGGAGCGAGGGCGAGTCCCCCTGCAAGCGGGACGGCGGGCGGAGCCACGCAGGCGTCCCAAGGGCCGGTCTGGGTGCCCTTACCGGCCCACACTTACTCCCCGGCCCGGCCCGGGGCCCTGTGAGCTCATCTCCAATTTCTCAGAAGTCGCTCTGGGGTGGCGGGCGTCTTCCTGTCCTTGTAGATGCCCAGTGGCTCCTGGGGCTCTGGTCGTGGGAGAAACTTGCAGACAGCTCTTCTGTAACCCAGGGCCAGCCTGAGGCAGGGTCTCCACAGAGCGCTTCCTTCCCTGACGTCCCTGGGCTGCAGGCCGGGGCAGGCGGGAGAGCCGGGGCCCTGCTCTGGGGTGCACGCCAGGTGGCCGTGTCAGCAGGACTGGGCACCGCGCATGACCGCGAGGTATCGCTGCTCGTGGGGTCGCTTTGCGTCCGAGACCTAACAACGCCGACGACCGTGCCCTGACGCCTTTCCTCGCTCACTGGCAACGCGCGCCGTTTTGGATCCGTGGCTTTGTCCCTCCAGCCTGCTTGCGCCTACCACCTGCCCAACAGGACCAGGAACCCTTCAGGGTCCTTAAGACGGACAAATCCTCTGGCACTCACTCAGCCCCACTCTGGCCCCCTTCACTTCTAGCATTTCGAGGGGCCTGTCCAAGGCCAGCCACCTCTAGGGCAGGTCCCCTGTGGCCGGCCTGCCCTCTTCTGTCCCGTGGGACACGTCTCACTGATTTGCTGGCCTTGGGATCAGGCTGGGGGGCAGGTGAGCTGCTGTGCGGGGCAGCAGGGGACCCTGAAAAGCCACCGGGCATGAGATGGCCCCTCTTCTCTCAGATCTGTGAGGCTTGAGTCTGGGGATGACTGTGGCTGAGGGGCACGGGGAAGAGGGTGGGAGTAGGGGACCCGAGAGGCTCTCTGAGGTCAGCTGAGGCCCCACATCCCTGGCTTGGCTCAGGGAGCAGGTGATCAGTGTGTGGGTGGGGACGTGTGTCAGGCGACCCCTTGATGTGGCCGAACACTTGGGCCAGTAGCTCCCCCTCAGCCCTGCTGAGACCACCCCCATCGGGCACACAACAGAATAGGAGCCCTGGCACAGCCAGTCCTTCCAACGGCCTCGCAGCGCCCCTGGGAGGACAGCTGGGCACCACGGCCCAGGAAGCCTGCGGGACTCAAATACATGTGTCCTCACTTCTGTGGCCCCAGGGGTGGGCCAAGGAGAGAGGGATGGAGAAAAGGGGGCTCATTCTGACCCGCGGGGTCGCCCCTTGGGGTGAGGCCTGCGGTACTTTCCGCAGGCAGTGGCTGCTTCTCTTTTCTTTCTGGAAAAGTGAAAGAAGCAAACTCATGTCTGGAACCGTGAGATGCGGAACTGGGGGTGCACACAGGGCACATGACGGCCTCGCTCGTGTCCCTCCTGCCCGGTCTGGGCTCTCCGGGCATCTCTGGTGCATGCAGGGCAGAGGCAGGGAGGGCTGCACAGTGACCTGAGGTTGTGACCGAATGAATGGACACGGGGCCCCGCATATATGTCCTTCCACGCTGCCCATCGTCCTGCCAGGCAGAGCAGAGGTGGGCAGCCAGGAGAAAGAGCAGACTGGCCAGGGAGACGAGGATGGAGGCTCCCCACAAGGAAACACGTGACCCGGTCATTTCAAAACATCCGTTCACCTTCCTCTCTCTGCTCTATTTCAGCAGCCCCTCACTCTGGGGTGTCTCCAGAGCCCCGGCCTGGCGAGCCGGAGAGAAGCGCCCTGAGGGAGGTGGACGAGCAGGCAGAAGCTGGTGCTGGGGGCTGGGATGGAGCCCTCCGGCCCCAGGAAAGCTGGCTCCGAGCAGGAGGATGGCTTCGGGGTGCAACCCAGGAGGGTGGTGGATCTGGGTCTGGTCCCCAACCTCCGGCGGAGCAACAGCAGCCTGTGCAAGAGTAGGAGGCTGCAGTGTCCCTTCAGCAGCAGTGCGAAGGTGGGCTTCCCCGGGGCCTCAGCAGTGACCTGGGGTGGGCATGCTCCCTTCTGGGCAGAGAGGGGGCTACCAGCCCAGGGCTGCCGCCCAGAAACTCCCTGGGCCAGGGCCTGTGGAGACCTGGGGCTGGACCTCCTCTCTGGGGACTGCGCTGTCACTTCCCCTGTGGTCTGCTTGGGAAACGAGCGGTGAGCACAGGTTCTGCGCTGTGTGGGGCTCCCCCTCTGCACCCCATTGCACAGTAATTTCCCATCCTTTATTGTTGTGGTGGCCGGCGCTCCCGATAAACCGGTTAAAAGCACATGCGGATGTTGGAGCGGCCTTGTCCGGCAGGTGGGAAGGGTCTGCAGGTCTCAGACAGCAAGCACCAAAGCAAGGGGCCCGGGTCGCACCCTGCACACCTTCCAGCGCACCACTGTCCCCGAGGAGGGTGACCTTAGCGTGTAAGCTGTGGAGCGCACGTTCAGATTGGGTCGGAGAGGAAACAGCACAGATTCGCTCCCCTCTC